CCCCCCCCACCCAACCCACCCAACCCACCCACCCCACCCACCCCCCCGCCCCCCGATTTTTGTGTGTGTGTCCTTTCAGCCATCTTTTCTCCCGGACCATCCCAGGCCGCCTCGGAACACCTTCCTCATGATGCCCAGGCTCCTTGGCAGAAAGACAACCAGAAGCCAGCCAGAAGTTCCGGGAGTTTGGTTGGAACCGGTGCCAGGGCTCTGCGACAAAAGGCGTCCAACGATTTCTGAGATTCTGGGGATCTCACTGACCCAAAGCGAGTTGACTGGAGCTAACCTTCTGGTTTCACAATTGTGGTCCACTTTTCGTAAAGGTCCCAAAAGGTTAGCTTGATATTTTTGGGCCTCTAAGGGGCAACTGAGAATACTGTCATAAGAACGCAGCATAGAAGTTCGGACAAGGACGCGTGTTTTTTGGTTTTTGTGCTGGGTTTGGCAAGGCAAGCCCAGTGAAGTGTCTCCTCCACTGTTGTTGTTTTGCGTCCTCGCGCCCTTCTGCTTGCCCGGTAGCACCATGGACCGTGTTGCGTTTTGTGAGTTTGGCTTAAGCTTGAAATGAACCAACGGGGCCCGGCCACTGAGCTTAAGGGAACAACAAAGACGAACAAGTTCCCAAGGTTACCGTGCTTTGGCGATGGTTGGGTAGCCCTGCAATCTACGCGTGCTTCGTGCGGAGGTCAGAGAAGGTGAAGCGGGAGAACTCGGAGAGGGTGGGCAAAGCCAAGGCGCGAATTCGCTGGAAGTGAAAGCCATCAAAGCGTTTTGGATTGTGATAGGTGTTTTCGCATGGTCATGAATTTAACTGGGGGGCCCTTTGGTGAGCATCATTTAGGTGGCGACTCATGTCCACCAACCGCTTCTGAGGCGGATCTCCCATTTAACGCATTTAAAATCAGAGCCAGGCGGCTTCTCGATGGAGCAAGTTGTCAAAATTGGCCAAGCTAGGCCGAACACCAGACCCCAAACCACCGGGCCGTTGGGCGCTCTTCGAGGGGCCCTCAAACCTTTGGCTCGAAAAGCATTGGATCCCAACACGGACTGGCCAACACCAAATACCGGCCAGAGAAACCAACCATTGCCCATGCCAACCATTCACTGAAATTCACCACTTGTGTGGTGAGCCGTTTTTCGGGCCAGAAGAACAGATTGGGACGAGAACTCTGGGTTTCTGGGGCACCCTGAAATCTCGGTTCCGAGGGCTTTGCGGTTTTCTGGGTCTGGGTCGCGCCCGAAGGTCTTAGAGCAGGGCTCCAGCAGCATCGTGGCGGCGGCCCAGGCCGCGGCGGAGGAAGCCAGCCCGGGCGCTCGGTCGATCTCGGGCGGCCTGGGGGTCGATCCGTTGCTGGGCAGTTTTTGAGGTGGTCAAAGGGAAAGCAAATCAAAGGTAAGAAATGCCACAGTTTTTAAGGTGTGGCGGGTAGAAAAGCGCATTTTGCGGGTCCTTCAGAAAAGACAAGGCCGAATTTGTCCGTTTCTGGGTTTGTGTCTGTGTCTGTCTGTCTGTCTGCGTGGGTGCGTGCGTGCGTGCGTGGGTGGGTGGGTGGGTGTGTGTGTGTGTGTGTATTTTGAGGTGCCTTTTTTAAGGAACACGGGGAAACTGCCTATTTTTGTTCGGGCACTCCCATTTTGAGACAAACCCCACTCCCAACTGCAAGGTGCGTTGTGGCTGCCAGAACATGCAGTCCAGCTGTCCTTGAATGCGGCTTCTTAATGGCCATTAGCTTCGGGCTGGCCACTGGCTTGCGTTCCCACTGGTTTTTGTTTCATTGTCAATTATACAGGCCTTGCTCCTCGCGCGCGAAACATGTTCGCATTTTGGAAGAATGGGGTGGGCAAGCATGGAATTGATTGCACCGGGTTTGACATGTAACGCACATCGCAAAACCAACACATTTCAACATGCATCACGGACAACAGATAAACCCAGTATTTGGTTCACTTAATTTCCTGGGCAGCCTGCACGTTTCGCGGAAAAGCAGTGGTCAGCCCCAATGATGTGAGCGAGTGTTTTGAACCGGGGATCCGGTTCGTGTTTAGGCTTCCTAGTTCCGGGATTGCGCGGAGCCAGCAAATGCCTTGCGCGCAAGTTACGGACACCGTGCAACATGTCATAGGGGCTTCGAGGCGAGGGCTTCCACCTCAACATGGCTTGGTTGCGACATGTTCGGGTATTTAAAAACCAGCGTGAGACCCTGAAGGCGCACGCACGCTTGGCAAAAGGCCTCAACTCAAGCCGTAAAAGAATCGCGTCACTGCCAGCCGGACAGGCGCGGAGATCGTTTGGCGGAAGCTTTTGGCAGATGGGGTTACCACCTGCCTAGATCCAGCAAGCAGAGGAAATGTCAAATGGAGCACTACCTGTGCCTTTGCAGAAGTTAGTTGTCCCCAACAGTTTCTCCCGGTAGTGTTTCTACCCTGCAATCCTTCGTGCCTGGGATATGTATGGTGCATGAGCCGGTGGGTTGCAGTGGAAGAGCCTTGACCCCTTGACATGCGCAGTGAGTTGCGTGAGTGATGGATGCTCCTCGGCGTGATCGCTCCTGTGTTGACGCTTCCTTGAAGAACTGCATCAACTAGTGGCCGCCAGGGTTGGGCAAAGTTGAAGTTGAAGCACCTGGCCCCCTTTGAAGGGAAGCCAATAGGAGCACGACATATCGCATGTTTGAACAAAGTGGTGTGGCTCTCCCGTGAACGCGCACGCATCCATTTCAATCTGGCGCGCTGAGAAGCCGTGTGCGAGAAAGACCACGGAAGCGCGGGAGCCAAGCTGGATCGTGGGACCCCAGACAGGTCTCAGTCCACAGCTAATCGACCGGATCTGTCCTTTTGGCTTTTCTGGTCTATGTTTCGTGGCCCCAAAAGGTTGACCCTTGATTTCTGCGCCCTTTGGGCGACTAGTCGATTATTTCACTTCGTTCATAGATGAGGCGACAGAAATTCCGGGATTCCAGCTTTCCTTTTGAACCTTCTTTGGAATCGGTGGTGTGCAATATGGTGATCAGTTTGTTTCTAGCAACCTTTCATGTCTGATTATGTGTGATGGGACTGTCACTTTGGCGACAGTGGCTTTGCCGTGCACTTTGTCGGAGTGTTCACAGAAGCACGTAGCAATTGATTTGTCCTTGTGCCCGGAGACTTTCTTTTTAAAGAGCAGGCCTGAGTTTCTTTGCTGGCGGGCAAAGTGCCCTGCGCTTCTCTGCACCAGACTTTCGACGGCACAAAAGAGAGAGAGAGAGAGAGAGAGAGAGAGAAAGAGCTACAGATGTTTTGTTGCCTTTTGGTTTCCTGCCATCCAAGAAGGGCACCCCCCTATTGGGAACCCAAAAGGGTTCCGCCCCAGAAAGGATGATGGGTTTTGGGTTTCATGCTTCTTCAGTGGTTCACTGGGTGCGGCAGCCAGCCACCTATGGGTGTGTTGGTTTGCCGCATGCGAAGATTTGCGGAAGCTGAATTTGAGCGGGGTGCCTGACAAGCAGTCTTATATTTTGGCCACTTTGAGAATCATTTTGGGGCTTGTGCCAGCCACTCCCTTGTGCATTCAACTATGATGTGGCTTGAACCCAGAGGCATAGTTCGAGCATGGAGTCGGGCAAGTAAGTCACAAGGTTCCCATCAAACTTGCAGTGGGTCAGTTCCATACAATTCTGCGTTGTCCTTGTGGGGTGACCTGTTCGTTGTTCAACAAGCAGTTCAAGCGGCAAGGACGAAAGCCCAGGTGTTCAGTGGCAGGTTTCTCTCCTTGTGATCAATTAGTTTTGAAACTTGTTTCCCCCTGATTTCCCTTGCCAGACTTGTTTTTTGCAGATGCTTGAGGGAGAAGCAGGGGAATCCTGAAGCAACGCCAACCTGAGCCGACCCCATAGTCTTATTTGGGGGGTGCTCGAAATTGGGGACCTCTTCAGGTGGTTGGCTTGTTGCTTTGCCTAATGCAAAGCCATCCAAAAAGGGCCTCTATCTGAGAAACACACATGTGCCCACTTACCAAAGCCAAAAACGGACATGAAGTGGTATAACGGTATAACTAGCAGCCGACCAGGGTTATACTTCCTCAGTTTTGGCAGCAGTGTCAGGGAAAACTTCCTCACAAAAGAAGCACCTCCTGCAGGAATGCTTCAAGGGCAAATTTTCCTTCCGACCCTAGGGTCCGACGCTTTTGGAAATCAGCTGCCCTGGATTTCCACCAGATTGCGAAAATGGCGTGCAAGCTGACGCACAGGGTTTGGTTCCAGGCCTGGATCCGACCGTCCTGAAGGATGTGGAGGCACTTGGGTCCTGCGGTAATTACGAATGAGCTTGCTTCTATCTAAGAACTGCAATGCTTTTGGCACTTGCCGGGCCAGAAAGCTGACATGTTCCAAGAACTGGATTTTGAAGCCATTGCAAAAGCTTTCAGAAAAAAACTCCTTCAACCCTCTCCTTGATGATTGTGAAGCGAGGCATTTCAGAATGGGGGGAGGTTGCGGTGGGACAAAATGCATGCCAATCAGCACGAGCTGGAATGGATGAAACCTTAGGATAAACCAGCCTTTTTGTGTTCCACCGACAGAGGCTCCTCAGTTTCCCTAGTTATGGCGATTGGACCAATGGATCCCACCACCCTCCCGAATATCATCCACGCCTGCGAGTTCAGCTTGTGTGTTCTCCTAACGCCTCCTGGCACATATTCAGCATCAAGCTAGGGGACTATATAAAATGTTAACATCAATGGACCCCACCAGCCCCCTACAAACTAAAATGTTAACATCAAATCGGGGTCCATGTCCCAAACGTTTTCGCTGGCTCAGCTTTCGGGGCTTCCTTCCGATAGTTTTGGGGGAGCAAACGCGGAAGCTCGCGCAGGCCTCGCTGAAGCCGCACATTCAGGCAGCGGCAGCCCTTCTGGGCTTTGGGCGGGGGGGGTGGGGGGGGGGGCGGGGGGGAAAGACAAGTCCCACCAAAAGGACCCGGTGGACTTTGTTCGTTTTTTTCCCCGGAGAAGAGTCAGTCCAGTGATGAGCGTGTTCACTCGCCTTTGGTTGACTTCTTGTACTGCTTCAATTTTGCAGCCCACGCGTGCCTGTGTGTGTGTGTGTGCTTGTTCACTCACCGTTGCTTGTCTCATTGAACCGCGCGCGCGCGCGCGCGTGTGTGTGTGTGTGTGTGTGTGTGTGTGTGTGTGTGTGTGTGTGTGTGTGTGTGTGTTCACTCGCCTTTGCTTTACTCATTGTACGGCTTCAATTTTGCAGCCTGTGTGTGAGTGTTCACTCGCCAGTGCTCGACTCAGTGTTTTTCTGAAAATTATCCCTTGGGGTTTGCGTTCAAAGGGAATGCATTGGGAAACCAACCATCTTGGGGAGGCACAAACAACGTTTGAGAAAAAGAACGTATCTTTTCCCTTCTTTTCGGTGACTTTTCTTTCCAACAAGAAGCATGGTTGAAAAAACAAGAAAAAATGAATCAACCCTCAAACCAACCATCTTAGGGACACCAGCCATGTTAGGGAGGCAAAAACAACCATGTTGGGGAGAGTAAACCCCTAAACCAACCATGTGGAGGGAAACACCCACCATGTTAGACAGAGTAAACCCCTAAACCAGCCATGTGGAGGCAAACGCCCGCCATGTTAGACAGAGTAACCCCCCAAACTAACTATCTCAGGGAGGCAACAAAGCCCACCCTGTTTCGTTTGCTCGGCACGGCGTTTGTTGGGCATCCCCATGCAGGCCCCCCATTGTACTCCAGGCCCTCCAGGATCAGCTCAAGCAAGTGGAGTCTGCCGGCCTCGGCGCGGGCGAGTCGAGCGAGTTGCTGGGGATGGCTTGGGCCCGAAGGAAAAAAACCAGTTCTGACCAGCCGCAATTCCCCCCCCCCCCTCTCCCCAAACAAGAAGGTAAAAATGAAAGAAGAAGCTGATGAAGAAGCTAAAGAAGAGCTTTTGACATCTTTGGACCATCCGCCCCCACCCCCCCTAGAAGACGAAGAAGGTGCGTTGGCTCAAAGCATTGGTGGTGGTGTTCAGTTTGCGTGGGCCGTACTTTTATTGGGTGCTCTACACGTTTGAGTGCAAAGCGATTCAACCGACCCATCCAGAATCGAGCCTACCTGTCACAGTCCTGTCACGCGGGGCGCGGCTCTTGTTTCTTGTCCCGATTCGCAAAAGCATGTCCGTCCCAGGTGGCCATTTCATACTACATCAAGCCCGTCTCACACAATGTGTTTGTGTGTGTGTGCTTTTGTTTGGCCTATGTGTGTAGCACGCTGAACGATGGGTTCTCAGAGACGCAACATCAACAGCAATGCATTTTAGTTGCCGCTTTGTTGACGTATCGGCAACCCAGTGTTCCTGATACAACACGTGGATGTCCAAGTGGGGATGAGTAAGATTTTGTAGCGCTTGAGATTGTAGCATCGGCTGTTTAGTCGATTTGGCTGGCATTTGCAGCAGGTCAATCCTTCAAGAAGTGACGGCTTGTTTAGAGCTTCCAGACTAGATTGGCTGCACAATGCGTGTGAGTCAACATGCACGTGACATGTGCTGATGGACAGGCATCCCTCTTTTCAGGTTCACACGCGATGGGGTGCGGCCAAAATATCGGCCGGTGAGTTTGGGGACGTGGAATCTCAGTACCTCCTCTCGCGGAAGTTAAGGAACTCATCCACGTTTTTCCCTGTCCACAGGAACCGATGGCTCAGATGTTTGCACCCAGATGGCACCGGGATTCTAGCCGACCCCTTCCTGGCCAATGTGAAGCGACCGTTTCGCGGTGCACCAAGCAACGTGATCCCTGTTGCCCCTAGCTGTACCCAACATCTTCCAGTGCATTCTGGGTGCGTCTTTTTTTGAGGGACCCTTTTGGGGTTGGTTTAGAGGGAAGCCAACAGGAACACCATCAGTTTGGGGCTTCCCTGAGAAACAAAGACACCCATTTGGAACACCTGTTTCTTTCTTTGCGCCATCTATCAAAAGAAGAGCGAGCCTCGTGACTTTGAGCAGGTGAGGCCGTCCGCAGTCTCGAGTTCGGAGACCCAGTTGTGTTTGCTGCGTGTCTCCGCAGAGCTTCCGGTTTGTTGTTCTCAAGACAGGGGCTCAGGGCCAACCATTTCACGGCTTCCCACTAAGCATCCACACTGGTTGAGATTCTGGTGGGCGGTGTTTTCTAACGAGCTGAGCGTGGCTGGTCTTTCGCCGGAGTGACAATGGAGTGACATTGCAGCTCCCCCGTTTCGGCCACCATGTTTAGCGGACCCCAAAGGGCAAGCTTGCATTTCGTTGTCCAAAGGATCAGTGATTTCAGCTGCTTTGCCCGGATGTTCAGCAATTCGTACGATAATTCCAACCACACAGGGTTTCGTTTTCCAGGCACACGACTTGGCTCGACCTGTATGGCATGATTTGCTTGGCCCTTGACCAGCGCTTTGCTTTGCGAAGGCATGCATGGCCTCTAGGTGCAAACCGCTCGCAAGGTTCAAAGGTTAGCCCCAGTTTATTCATAGGGGTCCCGGTGTCCCCGGGTTTAGTTGGGAATCAGACCACTTTTGGCGGTGCCAAAAGCCACCGCACTATTAATAAACTCGGCTTCAATCTAATTGGTGGTTTGGAGGCGTTCCGGGAGGCTTCCCACCAACGTGGGGTCAACGTTTGTCATCTCTGAGGTCCAAGATCCGGCGCGCCCATGTGCAAGTGGGCGAAGCAGTGACGAAGGTGAAGGCGCTGCGCCTGCGATGTTTGCGGGCAGATGGGTTTGACTATCTAGGGCAGAACTTGCTGGTGCGATAGGTAGGGAATGAGGGAATGAACCCAGGGGTCCCCTGAAAGGAAACCACCAGTTGGATGGTTTGTAGGGGTCATTCCCGAACAAGCGTAGAGAGTCTCCGAGGGCCCCTCTCTCTTTTTCCAAAGGGTCGACAAGCAAACGGCAGGTACGCGGGATGTTGTTTCCAAGAGTTCCCTTCCTTGATTTCAGGAAGGCCCCCAGAAATTCGGGCAAGTGTTTCGAAGCCCCTAGAAGGCTTTAGGGACCTCGATGTTGGTTGTAGCTTTGCTGTTCGATGCCTGGTTTGGCGTAACCCGCACTAGCCGCTTCTCAGAGGAGATGGCTTGGGTTCTTGTCAAGATCCATCAGGCGCAGAGGGTTGCAGAACCTCATTGTCACATCGCAAACGAAGAACTTATGTGAGAAACACGGGGCAGGGTGAAACAATTGAAACTGCCAAAGGCCCGTGTTTGCCCGTTTTCAACCCGTTGCGGGATGGCTTTTGGACACCACTTGAACATTCCAAAAGCAGCCGCGGCGGGGGGGGGGCTTCAAGACGCGCGACGCGTGCAGCAGGCGCTGATCCCGCAGGCCTGAGCTGCGCTGCGACCGGTGGGACGTGCGGACAGCGTGCAGTGTTTTTTTCCCACCTGTCCTGTTTCTTGTGTGTGTGGGTGTTGTTTTTGGTGTTGGGGGGGGGTGGAACACAACAAGGGGACCCTCAAAAAGGGATGTATTCCTCTGGCACGTGGAGTTTCGTGCCAGACGTCATGAAGACATCAGCTCAACAGCGCAACCAAATCGCCCTGTTCCCTCATGGATACGTCTTGGTGAACATGATCAACTGGAAAAGCAACAATGGGTTCCTTTATTTGCCGTATGTTTGACTGCCCGTATGGGACTCAAACACAGAATGTCAGCACCAGGCCTATCTCCATTTATGTCGAGAGATGTTCTGTGGGTCGACCAGGTCATGCGGGTGCAGAAGGAGAAGCAGTCTGAGCAGAGGGCATTGGAGCCCAGAGGTTTCGAGTTTCTGAGCACTCAGAGGGGTTGGTCAATTTCTCGTGACCTACAAGGATCCCAAGTTTTTTCAAACAACCAAGTGTACAGGCGTAGTGCAGCTTGAGTTCTGTTGTTTTCCTGGCACTGGTCCAATTTGTTGTGCTTGTTGACATCAGGACAGTTGGTCAAGTTCTTTCTTCTGGGGCAGGCGAGCCAGTTTGGCAACCTGAAGTAGCTTATCAACTCGAACGCTGCTTGATCCCCTACCTTGAGAACAGGGGGTCACGTCCATAAGATCAAGAATCGGTTTAAGTTTGCATCTAGCAGTTTCAAAAAACTTCTACGGTATACAATCTTTCGCAAACAACCCAACGTGAAGCCTTCGCGGGTACAAGGGTATGCGGCGGGTGTCTTGACCTCTGCGCAAACTCGATACAAAGGCCTTCCATCAAAGGTCAGGTGTACGCTCAAAAAGGCCAGTGTGCTCACTTGACCTCTGGCTTTCGACCTGCAAACTCAATCGCACGATTCATGCCCGGACAGATCCCAACACCTTTGGTTTGCCGGTACGTTTGCCATGAATGCCCTGCGAACCCGCCAATGGCGGCAACCAGAGCAAAAGGGCTGGTTTTGGATTTGATCGCTGGATGCTGGGACATGACGGGAAATCCAACAACCAAGCACATTGCTGTTAAATGTGCAAACCATGCGAACTTGGGAACCGTTCGAACCCGAATCCGGAAGACATGCTGATACAAGCATGCCGCGCTTTTAGCATGCCGGGGCCTTGAGCCAGACCCCGCCCCCCCTCCCCACCCCTTTCTAGAAACAAATAACCCCATCCCCCCACCCCCAAACCTGCCGCGAATGTTGTAGGGATGCACCTTGCTGTGGTTACTGGAAACCCGTGCTAACTTCTCCAGGACTTCGGAGCAACCCCAGGTTGACGTGGCCTATAGGTCCTATTGAGGAAGTAGTTTCTGGAATGGTGGGTTTCCGGTTGCCTTCCTTCAGACACATATCCCAGTCACCTTCCTATTTCCGGAGTGGCAGTTTCACGGCCCTCCCAAGGACTAGGTTTGACATGTCATCTGGATGGTCGCAACCCCGTTTCGGCAGACGTCGCTTTACAAAACAACCACATCTACCAGAGTAAAACCGGAACCAAAAGCAGCAAGGCCTAGACGTTCCCTGGCAGCCCGCCACAGCCACGACAGCATGCCAGAGACAACCTTTTTTTTCGCTTGCCCCAGGCGCCCACGCCGTACCGTTCACTTATTATTAGCCTTCGTCCTTTCGCCAGGTGGTTTCGACCCCTTGTACGAGCGTCCCATGCATTGGGATTATGCCCTGCGTAAACCGCAACCCAACTGGCATCTTAGTCTTGGGATTCTGTTTCCATCGGACAGGTGTCCCTATAGTGTTGATCCCATATTAGTCAACTCGAGTTTGTTAATAGGGGGTGTTCCCCCTCCAAAGTGATGATTCCCAACTAAACCCAGGGACACCCCTCTATTAATCAACTTGGGTTGATAAATATAGGGTCAACATTACTTCCCTTGTGTTCAGCATCACCTTGGGCCGTTTTTGGTTGTGAGCTTCCTCTTGGTGACATGGTTGTTGTTGGAAAAAACATTTTTTATTTTTGCTGATTGTGTTTCACTGGTTGAAACCCCCGCTTAACTGCTAAGAATCTAAATTGTTGCTCCCCTTCCAACGTCAAGCAAGGTGAGGTTCATGGGAAATCTTTTACTGGGGCGCCGGGACCCAAGGATGAGAAGCTGCTCAAGGAGATGATGGCCGCCATCACCGAGAAGTTTCACGCGGCCGAGGACCGGAGCGATACATCGATCGGAGTCCGCTTTGGGTCGGACGGATCGGCAGCGGAGTCGGTGGCCGTGTTGACGTGGCAGTCAACGAGTTGTTTTTGTTTTTTGAGTCAATTTCCTGAAAACGAACAAGGGTGTGATTTTTAACAAGGGACCCTGTGGTGGACACCATCTTATAGGTGGGGACTTATGTCCACCAACCACTTTGGAGGTGATTCCTTATTAAAATTCATGGCCACGTAGAACCTGCACAGGGGTTCCTGGCAGACCACTTTCTTTTTCAGGGGAGCCCTGTGCAGGTTCCATGTTTGTTTTTGGGAACCCGGCATCCCCTGCTGTTCCTTGTTGAAAACCCTCGCGGGTTGAATTTTGTGGCTTTGTTGCTTAGCGCCGACAGTAGTTTGAAACCTGGTCGCTAAATAGCCATTTGCAAGTTACCGGACGACAAGATGACGGCAATGAAACGGGGTGGAGACCTGTGTTGGCTCCGCTTTTTCTTGCCCTTCTCCTTTTTCTTCTTGTCCTTGTCATTGCCTTCGTGAATTGTTCAAAGGGAAATTGAAATGTAGACTGCACAAAGTGTGTGGTAATTCAGTGATTCACTGGCAGGCGGATATTAGATTTTGGCTAAGTTCAGGCAACCGAGGCGACCCACCATCCCGGCACTGGCAAAAGGGTTGGCTGAGTTTTGGTTAGAAAACCAGCTTCAAAAGTCCATCAAAGTCACAGAGGGCTCCCAGAAGCTTGACTCGCGAGCATTCAGCCTGGCGAGCTTCAAATCGCAAGCTTCCCGTGGAAGTTTCCCTCAACTTCGGCTGCGTGTTTGTTAGCACCCACTTCTGACACGTACGTCCCCAGCTCCCAGCCCATTGCCAGGACTTGGCTGAAAAGGCGGAGATTACCTCGGCGATGATCGAACACGCGCCTCGGCGTGCAGAGGAAAGGTGGAAAGGTCAATACTGGACACTGTGGATCAACAAAATCCCACAGTTGGGACGGATGCCTCATGAATGCTGGGATAAAGCACCCACAAGGTGATGCGAAGCGGATTTTGTGCACCCGGCAGCACGACCAGAAACATCCAGGAACAGATGGCCCGCCAAAACCAATGCCTTGGTATACTGGTGGTAGGAGCTCACATTGGTGAAGGTCCGCTTCGGCATGGTGGGTGAAGTAGAATGATCAGAACTAGACCAAGGGTTGTAGTTTCACTGTCCCTAGGCTCACTGGGTGGCCTGTACGGTCCCTACAAGTGGAAGCCTGAATTACGATTATTCCATGGTTATGATGTGGGCAAGGTCCTTTGTCAGCGGCTTGCCATCGCACCAATTCAACATGAGCTTCCTGAAAAGTGGGGTGATGTCTGTAGGAGGGGGAGGGCCAGGGGAGGGCATTGTGTGTTTCTATCTGCCCAGAAAAAAGGGAACACGGGGAGCCCAGTCGCTGAAGGCTGGGGAAGACCTGAACGAGGCGCAGAAGGCGGCACAGCAGACGGAGGACCAGGGATCTCGATGCGAGGCTGTTCATGTTGGTTCCTGTTGGGATGAAGGCATGCAGTCTGAATGTCTTGATCCCTTGCATCTCCTGTTTCTTTGGTGGGGATGAACAAGCACCTCATCACCTCATTTTCCGCGCTTGCTTTGCTGCGCCAGGAGTCCGCAAAGCAGGCTGCTGCTGCTGTGGCTTGGCAGAGTTACGTCGCTTCAGTGTGCGGCAAACCGGGCCTGGGCTAAGTCGCCCTGTTTGCCGATGTCAAAGCGGATTTTGACGTTGTTCCCCTGGGCACGGCTTCCGCATGGTCTCCCTTCTGTTTTGCCCCACCCACCCCCCACCAACCCCTTAACCCCCACCCTACTCCCACCCACCCCTTAACCCCCACCCTACCCCCACCCTACCCCCGACCCTACCCCCACCCTACCCCCACCCGTTTTTCCGGCTAAACTCTCGAACAAACACAAAAGGACCGCGCTGCGCGCACGTCACCTTCAGGTCAAAGAGGCGCTGACTGCCGCGGCCTTAGGGCTCTGTGAAGCCGGGCTGGGGGATAGGTTGCAAGACCTTAGGCCCTGCGCGCGGCAGCACAAGTACATTATATATACAAATAAAGATGTGAACCTTTAAACGTATACGTGCAAATAGTCACAATTTATAATACAATCATACAGCATACACATATATATATATATATTCTCATATATATTCTCATATATATATATATGCATATATACATACTTTCATTATTTCAGTTGTTCCGTGGATTCTACCCTCTTCATGTTGTTTGGTTGGTGGGTTGCGACCCCCAACTTGGGTGGCTCAATGATTTTGGGGCCCAATTCTAAGGTTTGATACCATGGTTATTTTCAACCGAGTAAACCTGGGGCAAATCACAATAGTCAAAGCGGAAATAAGGGACTCCTATGAAAGGAGCCTTCATCGTGGGCGTTCGCGCGAGTCATGTGACTGGGCCCCTTTGGCCTGAAGGTTGCATGGAGGCCGCCGGCCATTGATTTATGGAGAATTAATTGACAAAGACAACTGAGGCGGATCCTGGTTTTGAGATCATTCTCATGGGGGAGCTAAGTCATAGCCATTGCAAGGCTGTGCCTGAAGAACCATGCCCTGGCAACGCCATCGTTTGTGATTTCTGATACATACGGGTTTGGCTCAAAAGGTAAAGAGCCGAATTACGCAGGTGTCAATCGTTGGTTACATTTGCCAAGGTGCCTTTTGGTACTTGCCTTGAGCCACCGCCATATTTCTCTTGGAACTCCCTGAGTCGACTGGGCAAGGGGCTTGATCTGCGAACTTTCGCCCAGGCCATCGGCCTGAAACTGGGCATGCTGAAGAACTTCGAGAGCGACCAGGGCCGGCTCAAGGCGCCCGGGCGAAGCGGAAGCCCAGGCAGTAAGCCCAAGTGGCCCGCTGACCCGAGGGGTTCGCCGAGCATGTTTTTGCCAAGCACTTGGGGTTTTTTGCGCCCCTAAGGGTTGGGAAGGTTGGGAAGTTGGCCAGGCATTTCAGTGAATCCTCGCGCGCGGGAGGGAAACCGCGCCGGAAAGGTTCGCCCTTTTTCGTGGCTTCGGCTTCCCTCGGGAGCCGAACTCCAACAGACCAGTGCAAAGACTCGGGCGGAGGGATGCGAAATGCGCCAGGCCACTGACGCCCTGGGCAGCTTTCGGGAGAAGCTGCGGGTGGCGAACCAGCGACTCGTTTGGAGATGAATCACCGATGTTTTTCATTTTGTCACCCTTGTCACCCCCACCCCTCCCCCCTCCCCAAGAGTTTTCAAAAAAGAGACTATTAACCCGCAAGAGGCCTGATAAAGTCGCCTTTCTATTCGGGATTGGGTTGTGTCCTTTTTTCTTCGCGTGTTTGTTGGAGGGGCTATGGCCCTGCAAAACCAACGCCCAAAAAGAGGGGTCCGGGATTCTTTATTCTCACCCTTCCGGAAATACCTGCGTGGGGTTTGGGAGTTTGGCACCCATTTGTGTCTTCCTGAAGCTCAATTGATATCATTTGTCTTTCTGCTAAGCCTGTCAAAATATGGACCAGATTTCATGTGTGGTTGATTTTGCCTGGAAAAGATTGAGGTTTATGTTGCACCTCTGGATATTGTCCAATGGAACCCTGGAGCATAAGGAGGTCCTTTTGAAGCCAGGCAATCAGCCAGAACCTAGACAAGAACGGCGTTCGCAGTTTAGATCCGAGAGGTGCTTTGAACATAGTCCACACCACGCGGACTCCGCAGTATTTGTGTTTCGGCTGGTTCATTCAGAGCCATGGTATCCCATGGTGTTTTCGGCGCTTTTTTGCTGTGGATGGACGAACTCCGTTCGCACCACTTTGAGACCATGGTTGACACCAAAACGTTTGTTGGTATTTGAAGGGGGCTCGATCGATACATTCCATCAGAAACCACACCGGGCTTTTTAGGTGTGAGACTCGCGGATTTCGCGAAACGATCCGCTGACGCTTTGGTCAGCTGTGCTGAGGAAGTTGGTGCCCTTCCTGCAGGCCCAGGACGGCGAGTTGGAATGAGTGGCCCCGAAGTGAACCATCCAACTAGTGGCCACTGATGGCTTGCCCAGGTTCCAAAAAACAAGGAACACGGCTCGCCCAGTGAGAAGCAGCAACCTTATTGTAGGGTTTTCTGCATTTCCCTGGTTGGTTTCTGAATCAAGTTTCTTCACCCCTCACCCTACCTATGGCCCCCCAATTATCCTACCGTCTCCGGCATTTGGTAGGGAAGTACTGTTTGCATGCCAACGCGCACTAAGCCTGTTCAAAATGGAGGGTTGGCCAATCCTAATCCATAATCCCTGTAGGGAAGCCACTACAAAGGGATAAGGGGACCAAATCCTTGCGTAACCCAAGGTCAGGAGTAAGGATGAATGTTGAGCCATATTAATCAACCCCTGTTTATTACTAGGGGTCCTGGTGTCCCTGCTTTTGGTGGGGACAACCCTCTATTCATAAACTGGTTGGTTGATTTCATGGGTCGACATGACCATTCACCTTTCAACTGCCAAGCGAGCTACTGTGGATGGACGAAATCCGCGCACCACTTTGAAACCATGGTGGAACTTATCGTTGGTGCACCGCTTTGAATTCCTGCAGAACTTTGGTATTTACAGGGGGGTCCTATGATTCCAGGGTTTCTTAGGTGGTGGGAGGCTCGCGGATTTCGTCCATGGTCAGGAGACCTTCAAGGCACACGCGGAGGCGAAAGCCTTGTCAGACGAGCTGGAGGCAAGACTCGCGCCCGCAGAGGCCGGGGCAAAGTCCATGGCTCTCAACTGGTGACTGGTTCCTTTCGGGAAAGTTGTTTTCTCTCCCTTCTCTGGTTACCATGCTAATTTGCGGAGTAGAGGCAACATGCTTAGCATCAAGCCTAGAAAAGGTTATCAACCATATCAACCCTTTAACTCGTTCAGGAAGAGCATCCCAGAGTCTTCGATGCCCTTCAAGCGGGATTCCATTCCCCTGATCAGCCAATCGAAACACCCGGCAAGAGAACCAAATGGGGAATGACTTTCCTGGGATCCACTCGAAAAGGTAAGTTCATGTTCCTTCATGATCCCTGATCAAAGCAATTGCAAAGTACACTCGCCTTTTTCACTGGATGGCGCGCCCTGTTAAATGGCTCACGTGCTTTCAGGGGTCCTTCAAACTTGAGTGACAAAACCTGGGACGCTGAGGGTGTAGCCCTTGCGACCGAGGCAATTTGGATCGGGTGCTTGGGACAGGCTCGGAGTTGAAACGTTCTCCCTCACAGCCTGGTGAAGGAAAACCCATGGTCCAAAATGCTGTGAAGGTCAAAAGTTTATAGTTTGATCTCACTTCAAGGTCCTTCAAAATGATTCGTCCAGTCGAAGGCAAGCCTATGGTTGGCAAGTCATACCGAATGGTATTCTCGGGCTGTCAGGTGGCAGTGGCTCCCTGGCTTGTCCCTGATTTCCCCTGTGTTTTGTTCGTTGTTGTTTGAGTCTTTGGCTTGAAGAGCACCATTCAATAGCTGAAGCTGTTGGTCTCCTTTCTTCTTTCGGGTTTCCAATTGGAGGCGAGAGGTACCCCTCTAGTGGTTGGATTGTTGTTTTTTTTGGGGGGTTGAACCCTGATATACGGGAACCCCCGAACTTCCAATCCAAGGCCCAGCCAAACCACCAAACGGGGGTGTCTAAAAATTATATATAGGGGACCCAGGCCCCATTTAAAAGCAACGCGCCCACGGCTTTCTTTGGCTCCCATTGGAAACCACCCCCACACCAAGCCCCGGTGGCCTCCGATCGCTGTGCCTGTTCGTTATATTGTTGGGGAAATGGGCCAGCCACACAAAAAGGAAGGGACGCTTTCCCTTGGGAAAAGGATGTGTCGGTCGCTTTATTATTTTCACAAGACAGATAAATCAACAAACCATGTATATATATAGTATAGCTGGTTTGTATGTCTATGTACATATATATATATACATATATTACATCTATTCAGATATAGACGTTTGCACCTATTTCCACAGATAAACATGTATCTCATAATATTTGTATATATGCTGGGGAGAGAGAGAGAGAGAGAGAGAGAGAGAGAGCGATATATATATATATATATATAGGACCCCCCCCAAAAAAAAACTGTCTGCAGAGTTCACTGGTAGTACTACCCGTGAATTTAGCCTGTTTTGGGGCGGTATATATATATATATATACCTGTAGATATATCCCCCCTATTGCGCAGGTGGAGGTGGACAAGGCGGAGCAGGTGGCGGAGCCTCTGCTGAGCTTCGCAGAGGCGCGCAACTTTTTTTCTTCTTCGGGGCAAGTGAGGGGCAGACCCACCTTGGTGGTGCCGCGTGGTTTCTCCTTTTTTTTCCGTTGTTTTTTTTTTTTGGGGGGGGGGGGGGGGGGTTGGGTGTTTGTGGTTGTTTGGTTTGTTTTTTCTCGGCTGTTTGTTGTTGTTTGTTTTGTTTTGTTTTCTTTTTTTTGAGGGGGCGATCTCTAAGGATTGGCTTTTGAGTGTTGGTTGTTGTTTTCTGTTTGTTTTTGTTCCCCTTGGGGGGGGGGGCCCTCCAAGGATTGTGGTTTGGTTTTGTGGGATATGTGTCTTTCTTTATCTATTTGTTTGTTTGTTTTATGTTTTTGTTTATTTATTTGCTAAGGGGGGGTCCTTGGAGATCCAGGTCCAAATTTGCCGGTTTGACCATTTGAGGTTTGCAATTTCCTCCTTGCGTGGGGTTTGCAGCGCGCGCGTGCGTGGGTGCGTGTGAGTGTGTGCCTGCGTGTATATGTTTTTAGGGTGCCCTTTGTTCAACTTAAAGAGAACACACAAACGCCCGGCTTGGTTTTGCCCTGTTTTTGTGCTGTTTTGGAGGGCCCCAAGCAATCACGTACGCAGATGCTTCAAAGTGATGAGTGAATGTGTCCAGACATTGGGATCTGCGTGCCGGTTGCTGTGAGTCATGGGGATGGGAATGCTACCTGGTATTGGAACTGGCGCAAATTCCGCACAAGGATGCCCCAAAAGGGAGCTGTAAAGCTTGCAAGGGCGCCTTGTCGGACCTGCCATGGGGGTGTCTTTTTGGTTTTCCCTCCAACAACCCCAAAAAGGGTACCCTCAAAAAAGACACCCATATCAACGAGATGCGGTCAAGACCAGGAGCCGAAGTGTTTTTGGAGGGTACGCTTTGGGGGGTGGCTTTGAGGATAATTCCTGAGGAAGCCTATCATTTTTGGAGGTCATCCATTTTCAGACACAACCAGACACTTGGCTTGCATGATCTACGAGTAAAACATATAGTCCATACAAAATTATATTGTGTGGAATCCTTTGTGGGCGGTCTATCTCTACGAGATACCATTTGGGGAGCCCTTCTGGCGGCAAGATTGTGCAAAGCGAGCCCCTGGGCTGATTGACGTATAAGGGATGTGTCTTTCGATTGTGTTGTTTTTTTGGCGGGGGGCCTTGCCTATGAACGACATTGAGGAGTCAAACGTATAGCGGACAGAGGATTTTGCGGAGTCCTTTGAACAGGTCTGATAAAAGTGTACCGGGAACACCGAATAAACCTAGGTGTCACCGGATGAATTCTCACTGACAGGGGACCCTCCTTATCACTCAACCAGGGGTTTATGTCGGGTTCCCTTTGGTCAGCTAGACTAATGTTGCTTCTTCGGACAGGTTCACATGATTTGGCTGAGGCTGCTTCTGACCTTGATTGAAGTCATGGGCTGGGATTCAGCTGGAGGTTGGCCTACAAGGGAAACAATACCCCCCCTCTTTCCAACCTCCGTGGCAGTGGTCAGAATGGTTCACATTGTCTGGTGAGCTGTGGGGTTGAAAGAGTACATCCTTTTTGACGACCTCCTGCGCACTTCCAAGATTGTTTGTTCAGGCGAGTAAAGTTGGTGGTCGTTTTACAGTTTTACGTATCCAATCAAGACAATTCTCGCACTTCTCTGAACCCGCGAAAGGAGGTGGTGTGATGCGCCGGGCAATTATGCATCCGCAGATGATTTAGAGGATCCTCTTGGGAAGCAGGTGGTTTTCTGATGCATCCTTCTCTGTGACTTCGTCGCACAATCAGGGCTTCTCCAAATGCTTGGTTTCCGTTTGGTTTCCCTCTAAAACCAACCTACAGAGGGTTCCCCAAACAAGAGCACTTTTTCCATTTTTTGGAATTTTTGTGGAGTCATATTTGCATTTTGAGACTCAAACCCCATGTGCCCAAAAACTGGAGAATATTTGGGTTGAATCCAGATCGCCTTAGAACCATGACGGGGCTTCAGGGTCTGAGATCTGGACAATTTGGTGAAATCCGTAAAAATCAGCTTTTTTCATGGCTTGACTTCAGGCTGACAGGGTCCTGAATTTGTGGATTTGTGGTGGGGGCTTGAACCCCTGGCTTTTGTAGAGGCCTGTGGGTAAATGGAAACTAAACCACCCAATTTCGAACACCTCCAGACCGCCAATGGGTCTGAAATTCAGGAACTGACAAACAACCCCCTAAGGAGGCAGCAAGGGTAGTTGAGAGCCCTAGGGTTGCTTAGGGTTCCCTAGGATTCCCTAAGCCTTGGGGAACCCCTTGGAGTCCCCCTCAAAGATTCCCAAAATTGAACTGGGCTCATTATGTTACCCGTTGTTATCAAAGTCAGAGAATGGAATCGGTTGTTCCCTTAAAACCTACCACTTGAAAGGTGACTTGGATCGTGGTAAATTCTCTGGTTCTCCACATTCCCTAAGATTCTCTAAGGGGGAGCCACAGTCTCAGGGATTCCTAAGAATAAATCCTATCAGGGATTCCCCACAGGGAGAATCCACCGGGCCACGGTTGCGTGTTCTCCAGGCCGCGTTGGCCGCCGGGCAAGCGGCAGCTGAGGCCACCGCCACGCCCAAAGCGCCGCTTGTTTGAGCGGCGGTGCGCGGCACGCCGGCGCCCGTTGCAGGTTTTTGAAATCGGAACCTCATGAGCTTTAGTCACTTCTTGGGCTTTGGACCATTTTCATGGCAAACCAAGAGATTGGGTCGACTTCTTTTGTGCCAATACGCTCGGGAGTGTGAGGAATCCAAAAGCACCAGCAACTTGTTTGTGTGTTTTTGTGATGCCTGCGGGGCGGCCATGGGCTTGTCACCAGTAGTCGTTGGGCTGGGAACGCCACGTCCGCAGAACGTATTCGGATTATGCGTCTCCATGTCCTAAGCTTTTTTTTGCGACCTTCGGGGGTGGAGCAGAATCGGCTGACTCAACGCTTGACATCGGATCGCAGCTTTTGCAAGCGCCAGTCTCTTCGCCACACATGGGGCTTTCTGTTCCTCTTATTCGTCTCCTCCTCCTCCTCCTTCTGCTTGACTAGGACGGTTACGGCCAACTTGAGGTCGACATTCGCTCATGGGTCCTTCAGCAGCTTTCCTTTCCAAGCGGCGCTTCCCCTGCCTTTCCAAACCCAGGAGTGAGACAACCCCCCATGGGGGAACCCTGGATTTAAGTCTATCCGGTAGTCCTTTGGTGCCTTGGGCTGACTGCGCGGAGCCAAGGAAGGCCAAGAGCAATCAGAAGGACAAGGAGCCCCAGAAAGCTGCGACCAAGCAGGTGCTCCCGCCGCCGGAGGCCAGATGGAACATGGGACAAAAGAAGCTTCCCTTGCACTCATTGAACCAAAGCAAGAAGAGCCGAGAGGGTCACATTCATAAGCGTCCTTTTTGGTTGGTTTGTTTAAAAAATAGAGGGCCCTGGTTTACCTGGTGGTTCAATCATCAATACACCCATGGTCACATTGAGTTTTCCTGAGCTTGGGCGAGATGTTTTGAGCGCTTAGTGATATGGAGGCTTGTTCTTAAGAAGGCGGGTCCCAGCCGTCTCCTGGGTTTTTGGGTTCTTTTAGGGTTTAGTGGACGTTTCTTCCATTTACCCCACTGGAAATAGTTGTTTTTTGGTTTTAAATCCAGGGACCTGCGGACAGCCAAACATGTCAGATAGAGCCACTTTTGTGACTCAAATCAGGTGCCATGTTGTGCAGCCTTTCATCAGCATGGTACCGCCGACGAGGCAATGTTGACTTGCCGAAAGCGAACCGACCCGGATCTGACCGGGAAAAAACAAATAGGTCAAGGCTCCAAAAGGTGAGACCTTCTATTCTGGGTTCTTTGTTTTTTTTTGTCAACTGAGAATCTGGCTCAAGGCAATGTGTTGGAGTTCGCAAGCAGCAGGCGTCCTGATGCATGATACAAGCTATTCGGTCCAGTTGCCCTGGAAGATTGAGTGGGCCTCAACCCCTTCCTTGCGTGTGTAATACTATCACTAGCTACTTGTTCATTCTGTTTTTATTATAAGGTAAGTTGGCTGTATTAGTTGTTATACGTTATGCACAATCTTATTATTCGCACCTCGTTCCATAAATGTACAATCTTATGCAGGTTTGTATGATGGAAATGCGTTGTTAGGCAAGGGTTCCCAATAAGGGCCGCAGCGCAGTTGGTGAAACTTACAGGAGCTGCCTTCCAACTGACACCCTGGAAAGACACGTACCTCGGCAAGCGCAGACATCCAAATGCGAATCTGGTGTCCATGCTAAGCAGGCCTTGTCCAAGTTCAGTGGCGTCCCCACAAAATATTCCCAGCATAGGCGTCCTTTTTAGGTTATGTTGGTTCGAAATAGATGGCACTGGTTTAGGTTGGTTTCATTCCATATACCAGGGCCATCTATTTTCCCAAAAGGACACCTATGATTCCCAGCCTCTCGGCTGCTTTCTCAGGGTCACGGTTTTTGGTTTGGCGCTCCTGCGTTCGCACAGGTGGTGGCGCAGGCCGGAAAGATCGCTACAGATGCCGCAGCGACCCTGCAAGGGGTGATGAAGATGTTGGACCAGAAGCGAAGCTCGGCACGCCTTTGGTCGGGTGCGAAAGCTCGACTCGCGGAAGCCAACGCCAAGGTGTGGGAAGACTAGTGTCCTTTGGGACCTCCTTGTCCACTTCCAACCGTGTAAAGAGGGCATAAGAGGGCAATTGGTGGTTGCTTGTTCGTGGTTAGGTGTGGTCAACTCCCACAGTACCAATCCAAACCATGGAGGGCAAGGTGACGCATGATGTTTTGGGACAGGTGGGGAAACACGCGGCTTGGGGAGCTGCGTATTGCCATGGTGCAGACCTGTGTGCAAGTGTCTAAGGGTCTTTGTGTTACGCCCTGGGAGTACACGACTGGGAAATGACCCCATTTAGGCACATGTCCGGGATAGAGTCATGTTATTTTGGCCCACTTCGGGCCATTTCTTAAGGGTGTAATCCCAGGGTGTAATGCCAGTCGGCATGCGCTATCCGATCCGTGCCGTCTGGGCTCAGCCTCAGAAGCCCTGGAGGGCTTCTTGCCTTTCGCTGGAGGGCAGCTTCGATCAGGGCTTGCGCCGGCTACCTTCTGGCCATTTGCTTAAAGGATTGACTTACACAGATTTTCCGAGCGGGGCTTTGGGGAATGATCGTACCACTGTGATGACACCGTGCGTAAATGGAAGGTATGCCGCTCCTGCGCTTTAACTGGCCCAACATTACGCGAAATTCCGCAAAGGAAGCTTCTGTTTACCCCACAAGTCTCTTCAGTGGCCGCCGGGAGTTTTGTCGCCATGGTGGCAGCCACAGACATGCCGTACGTGCCGCTCCGCGACAACTTCGGGGGAGCGGCGCCGGACACGCACGGGACCTCCACCTGGAAAGCTACCCAGCGCGGGTTCGAAATCGCTCGGCTCAACCGGATTTCCAGCGGGTCTAACTCAAAAACGGGACTTAGCCATGAAACTTGACTGGACCTGAAACCTTTACCCTCTTGTTCACTAACGTGGAACGAGGGGGCGCCTTAAAAGGACGAAAAGGAGAGTAGTCTTCCAGGCTAACCAACCAAAAACATGGTTGATCGATGTCCGTTCTTTTCAACCATGGTTCTGTTGAGAAACTGGCCTTGTTTCTTGTTGGCGTTTTCTGTAGGGAAATGACCTCTAATTCATAGCCTCCGCAAAGAAGGAATTCCCCATAAATCGAGGTTTTGGGTGGACATTGTTGATTTAGAACACCCTTTTTGTTTTGCCTAGTGTTGCTGCCTGCTTTGTTATCCTTGCCTGTCAAGTTGTTCGATGGCTCGGCACGTGTTTTTTACAAATATGCACAGAGAATTTGCACAGTCTCGCACACCTCATGGATTACAACGAGCATAATTGGAGGGACATTCATAAACATAGGTACCGATGCAGGCTGGACAAAACCAACTCCTTACCGCAGCGACAATTCTCTCAGGGTGACCCTCAGAGTGATGTTTCCAGCTAGTGGGTTCTCCTTTCACACCCAGCCAGCCCATGGCTTGCCCTGGGCCCTGGGCCCTGAGGCTTTGCTGCAAAGGCGCGTGCCTCCGCTGTCCTGGCTTCCAGCCTACGAGCCCTTGGGCTAGCGAAAGAGCTGAGGGGTTTGGAGAGATTTGAGCCGGCAATGAGTCAAGTACAAATGGCCCGCTTTCCAAGACGTGCTTGCAGGTAGGTTGTTTGTTTATGTGCTTGTTACCTATCTTAAGACAACATGTTGGACCCCTATTTTTGAGCCACACCCACCAGTTCGGTGAAAATTTGAGGAATATGACTTTGCTGGACTCACCAAAATTAGTAAACTAGAAGCCATTTGGAGCACGTTTATTGCCAGGTTCCATTCCAGCTGGTTTCCATGTCAGTGGTAACAAGTCCTACGCTAAGGTAAGGAACAGCAGGGTCTTCTAAGCCAAGCAAAGGGTATTTTTCGGCAAGCAGGTTTAACCCAGAGGTGTGTTCTGCCTTCCTAGCTCTCAGGATGAAGTACTTCCTGACCGACGTCACCGCGGGCATCACCCTGGGTATCCAGACCGACTTATTCCCGTGAACACTTTGGAACCCAAACAGCTAGCTCCACCTTCTTATCATCGCCATGGCCGCTTTGCGGCGGCAAACGAATGAGGTCCGCAAGAAATTGTCCCAGGCTGCCTTTGCAGCCGAGAACCTTGGGGCGGTGCCTTCCTTCTCCTGAGGTTGGTTTGTTGTCCACCCCTGTTCAACATGGAAACGCGCCAAATGTGGGGGGCGCGCCCATGCTTTCCTCAATTGGTTTGGAGTTTGGCTGTTTGTTCTGGCTTCCCTGCCTACCAACCAAAAAAGGTCCGAAAATCAGTGAAAGCAGCGCGCAAAAAACCACGATGAATCTTCATCTAAACGGTTGCCTAAATAGCTTCTGTGGAAAACGCCCTGCCTGCGTCGCACATGCCCAAAAGCTTGAAAGCTATGCAGTCTTTCCAGATCGGCGCTTGGTTTGGGGCAGATTGCGGTGGAGGCTTCCGGGGCTGGTGGGGCCAAGCCTTCGGAGGTACCATGTGCTTGGCACAGACGCTGGCCCATGCCACCATCGCTACGACCGAGCCGATCCAGGACGCGAAATTCAAGCCCTGAAATCCCGGAGTGTCGAACAGGTGGCTACGAACTCTCACTCTCACTTCCTGAGTTTGTTTCGTTTAGTTGTCTTCACTTTTTGGGTTTGGCCCCTTTTAGTGGTAAATACTGCAGAAAGTCTGGATTTGTTTGGCCAATCCACTCAGGAAGCGGGATAAACTTTGATTGGGAACTACTTCAAAAACTGGTTGGTGGGATATAAATTCCCACCGAATGCTGATGTCCACCATTTCAGGTACCTGGGTTTGACCTTTGTGACCGATTTTTGCGGCTCAGATGGGTACAAGGCTATACTATCATTTCGCTTCTCTCGTAACACCTTTTGTATGGCGAGCCAGGCCAGGGGCAGAGGCCACTGGTTTCAACGTCACTTTTTGGTGCCAAGCTGAGGGGAAGGATTTTGGCAGCCATGTTTGCCTAGAGCTTCGTGCCTTGGCTCATGTTTCCAACATTCCGGAGCATCGCAGTTCCATCATGTTCCATCATGTTCCATCATGTTCCATCATGTTCCATCATGTTCAATTTGCAGCACATCCCGTTTGGCTGGCTTAAGTCTTTTGCAAGGGGTTGAGGTCCAACGAGCTAGGTTGCTTGCTCGCCAGTAGCATCGAACACTGAAGTTTCCCACCATTGACCGCAAGAGCCAAATTGTGGTCGTCTCCACTTGAACGCTTCTAGGGCTATCCCACGCTCTCTGCTCAGATGCAAGCTTGAAGGGTAAGCATGGGCAAGCCAAAGGACGCCATCTACTTGACTGGGAGCCATACAAACCAGCTGAGTGAGAATGACACTTCGAACGAGAAGCTCAGTATGTGTTTCTTTGGGCGTGGTTTAGTGTCAGATAACGTTATTTGTTTTTAACCTTGATTGCTGCACCGTCAGGTTCCATAGTCCTGACTCATGAGACCCAATTCTAGAGCAAACGCACATTGTCAGGTTTCGGCAGCATTGACTCGATATTACAACAATTGAAACTCATCGTTACCTTTTACATCATCAAGAGCAAGGAAAACTGGAAACCCCTAGAGGGCTTCATGGGTGTGGTTTTGCCCCCGAATTGATTCCACTTTGGGAAGCTGGTGGGTTCCCGCCCACCAAGAAGGAAGCTCACTTTAAGTTGGCGGTGATGCTCAAGCCGCCGGAAAAAGAGAGGCGCCGCTGACAGCCTCTGAATGTGGAGAGCGAATCACCTCACCAGTGGTTGCTGGACTTGAATCCCTACTTGATGTCCAGAAAAATGCCCTCCCCCATTAAGATATTCACCCCCAATCTTGGGTTTTCCCTTCAGTTTCCCTTTAAACCAACCCACAGAAAAGCGCCCTGAAACCCAGCCTGACTCCTCCCAGATTCCCAGGGCCCCTACTGCGCCCTGCTGCCTCCCCTGCTCTACGCGCTGCTGGGCACCTCCCGGCACGGCTCGGTGTCCTCGGGGGCGATGGCGGCCATGATTTTGGCCAACGTGCTGCAGCCCTTCCCGGAGAGACGTGAAGGGGGGGGGGGGTTGGGGTGGGGGATGGGGAGCGGGGGGGAGGGGGTTTGGGGGGGTATGGGGGGATGGGTGTTGGGGGGGTATGGGGGGGGGACTCCTTTGCTTTCTACCCTACGCTTGAAGTTAAGGTGAAACCAAATAGAACCGCTTGGGCTTGTTTTAAGCTGAAATCAAAGGGAAGCCGTCCAGGACATCAGGGGAAGGGGGGTGAGGCGAACCTCGGATCAAGCCGAACCCAGCTCGTCAGAGGAACCCTAAGTAGATCCTCGGTTGAGAGCGTGAGGACATCAAGGACCGCACGGAGCTGGCGTCTCTGCTGGCGCTGCTGGCGGGCTTCTTCCAGAAGCGTGGCTGTCAGCGGCCCATAGCCCTGGAAGCCTGGAAGTCACCCCCCACTTTGGGCAGGCATCGTTTATGACCATGGGCTGTGGAATGCCGGAATTGGATCGCATCTCCAAGTCACAGGTGTCGACTTCGGAAATGTAGGACAAGCTTGGGTCTTGGCAGGGACAATCATTGCAAGCCCTCTGTGAGGTACGCCCACTTCCCCTAGGATAGATGAGGCTGCCTCATCTTACTGTATGCCAGTGGCTTGTGAACTTCTGCCCTTGTTTGTAGTTGTCACTCACAGATCCCTTCGTTTCGGCTGTGGCAATCTGAGCTTCACTTGACTGTCGCTCAAATTGCTTTTGAATATGCCATGAACCTCTGACCGACAACAATCTGCCATCACTGGACTGCGGAGCAAATGCTTGATAGCTCTTCAAATGCCGTCAGGGCAGTCTTGCTTCCCCTTGCAAGGCCGCCCAGTCCGAAGAGTATACAGCTAGTCACCCGTCCCTTGTCCCCCCAGAAACTAGCCTCCCCATAGGCACTCGTGACGATCAGGCCGTTGGGGCCTTGTTCACCAGAAAGTTTGTCGTGTCCCCCTCAACCTCTGTCTTTGGCTTACTTTCTGGCCCCTGAAAATCCCACTGGATTTCGGTGGGGCCAAAGTAAAGAAAAGCATTTGATCCGACCCAAGGAGCTTAGGGGATGAGCTCATGTTGGAGCAGGTGAGCGTTTCAACCATGATTCAAAGGGAGGTGGTGAGGAACCCGACCATTTTAGGCCGAGTTCCCCCCAAAACCCAAAAAAGGGTTCCCTTTTTCTTTTCTGGCCACTGAACATCTGAGTAGGGGACCGATGAATTAAGACAAAAAAAAGACCCGATGGATCTGAGGATCCTGATGGGGGTGTTCGACCTGGCCTCCGCGGTGCGCTTCCTCTCCCAGCCCACCTTGAGCGGCTTCGTCACAGGGGGGGCGGTGCTGATCATCGTGTCGCAGCTGAAGCTCGGCTCGTTGAGCTGCTGGCGGGTATTTGTGTGGTGTTCTTGGTTGTTTTGCTGATGCTCCTGGCAATTTGTATGTCTCTTTGTCTTTTGTTGCTGATGTGCTTGCTGATGTTCAGGCAAATCTGCATTAGTGTTTTTTTTTGGGGCGAGGTGAGCCCCGCTTCGCGAAGTATAGCAATCTTGCGATGCTGACCTTTGTTTGAAGATTGTTGATTGCATGTCATGCAGGTATGTATAATGTTAAATCCTAGGGCTATTAAACCGATTAAACACCAGAACAGGACTGGTTGCCCAGTACGAGGAAAGGACTGGGGATGTATGTGTTGAACAAGATTAAGATAACCATTGCCCGACCGTTGCCTATATTGCAACTCGTCAGCCTTTCCGGTTTTCTGCCCAGTTGGTCTACCCAGCTAGGATCTTCCTTGAAATACCTAGAAGGGTTCTAACAAATGGGGTTCCTTGTGGATGCTACTCGCATGTTTGTCCTTGGGGCCCGTTCAACGACGGGTCCGGTGACGATCTTGACGGCTGTGAAAAGCAAAGGCCAGCAGTGATACATCCGTAAGGTCTTCCCCAAAAACCAACCGAAGAAGCCTCTGAAATGGCTCCTGCGAATTTGAAACAGATTCCAATGGGCTGCTTGTTTGGCCCCACTGATTTGCAAGAAAGCCATGTCCATCTTCTGCGCAAGTGGGGCAGGCGAAGCCAGACGGTGTGTCTCTTGAGGGGAAAAGGTGGACCCCGGTTCCCTTTCAAACAATCCAAGCAGGTTCTCAACAACGACGCAGCCTGGGTTTGTCTAATGGTAGCCCGGGATTTAAAGGGCCCTGGTCGATTCCAAGGGCGTGTCCCATGAGGGATCTTTAGCGAATTACTCCCCTATCAAACTATTAGGGTCGATTACTCCGGGGTCGATATTGTTCAAGGGAGCTCTTTGTGTGTGTGTGTGCGTGTGCGCGTGTGCGTCTTGAGGCTGCCCTACTTTATGTTCTCTTACCGAAACTTGATCGCTGTCAAACTAGGAGCCTATGTTGACGCATGTGAGAGTGAAAGGGAACCCCTGGCCATTTTATGACATGCGCCGCTTCCCATTTTGAGTTTCTCACCCGTTACGAGGGTCTCACCCACGTACCAGTGATCCGGACTCCTACAAGAAATACTGTGGATGGACGATATTTTGCACCACCTCAGACCTCCTAGAATGATGATTCCCCTGTTGACACCCAACAAACGTTCTGGTTCCCGTGGCTTGAAACTGGTGCGAAACGGATTTCGTTTCTCACCCGTTACGAGTGTCTCACCCACGTATCAGTGATGCGGACTCCTGCAAGAAAGCGCCCCTCTAGTAATATCAACTTCAGTGTTTTTTTTATTGGTCATCCTGTACCGTCCCTTATGGCAGGGCTCTTTGGCTTGGGGGCCCTAGGAAGAGCTTCTTCGGCTTCGAGGTCTTCCCCCACGAAGCGACTCCCTTTGGGAAGGTTTGGGCCTGCGCTATGCGCCTGGAGGACCTTTGGCTTCCACTCGCATGTTGTTTCTTTGGTGGTTGGTTTGGTCAATCGGTTTGGTGTGAGTTGGTTTGGTTTGGTTAATCCGGTTTGGTGTGAGTTGGTTTGGTTTGGTTAATCCGGTTTGGTGTGAGTTGGTTTGGTTTGGTTAATCCGGTTTGGTGTGAGTTGGTTTCGTTTTTGGTTCGGTGAGTTGGTTTGGTTTGGTTAATCCGGTTTAGTGAGTTGGTTTGGTTTGGTTAATCCGGTTTAGTGTGAGTTGGTTTGGTTTGGTTAATCCGGTTTAGTGTGAGTTGGTTTGGTTTGGTTAATCCGGTTTGGTGTGAGTTGGTTTGGTTTGGTTAATCGGTTTGGTGTGAGTTGGTTTAGTTTGGTCAATCCGGTTTGATGTGGGTTGGTTTGGTTTGGTTAATCGGCTTGGTGTGAGTTGGTTCGTTTGGTGAATCCGGCTTGATGTGGGTTGGTTTGGTTTGGTGAATTGGCTTGGTGTGAGTTGGTTGGTTTGGCTAATCCTGTTTGGTGTGGTTTGGTTTGGTATCCGGTTTGGCGTGAGTTGGTTTGGTTTGGTGAATCCGGTTTGATGTGGTTTGGTTTGGTTAATCAGTTTGGTCTGAGTTGGTTTGGTTTGGTTAATCCGGTTTGGTGTGAGTTGGTTTCGTTTGGTGAATCCGGCTTGGTTTGAGTTGGTTTGGTTTGGTTATTCGGGTTTAGTGAGTTGGTTTGGTTTGGTTAATCGATTTTGTGTGAGTTGGTTTGGTTCTGGTTAATCCGGTTTGGTGTGAGTTGGTTTGGTTTGGTTAATCCGATTTGGTGTGGTTTGGTTAATCCGGTTTGGTGTGAGTTGGTTTGGTTTGGTTTGGTTTGGTTAATCGGTTTGGTGTGAGTTGGTTGGTTTGGTTAATCTGGTTCGGTGTGGGTTGTGGTTTGGTGAATCCGGCTTGGTGTGGGTTGGTTTGGTTTGGATAATCCGGTTTGGCGTGAGTTGGTTGGTTTGGCTAATCCGGTTTGGCGTGAGTTGGTTTGGTTTGGTTAATCCGGTTTGGTGTAAGTTGGTTTGGTTTGGTTAATCCGGTTTGGTGTGAGTTGGTTTGGTTTGGTCAATCGGTTTGGTGTGAGTTGATTTGGTTTGGTTAATCCGGTTTGGTGTGAGTTGGTTTGGTTTGGTTAACCCGGTTTGGTGTGGGTTGGTTTGGCTTGGTTAATTGGTTTGGTGTGAGTTGGTTGGTTTGGTTAATCTGGTTTGGTGTGAGCTGGTTTGGTTTGGTGAATCTGGCTTGGTGTGAGTTGGGTTGGTCTTGGTCAATGCCGTTTGGTGTGGGTTGGTTTGGTTTGATTACTCGGTTTGGTGTGGGTTGGTTTGGTTTGGTTAATCTGGTTTAGTGTGGGTTGTGGTTTGGTGAATCCTGTTTGGTGTGGTTTGGTTTGGTTTGGTTAATCCGGTTTGGTGTGAGTTGGTTTGGTTTGGTTAATCTGGTTTGGTGTGAGTTGGTTGGTTTGGTTAGTCTGGTTGGGTGTGGGTTGGTTGGTTTGGTTTGGTTGGTTCGGTGTGGGTTGGTCGTTTTGTTTGGTTGGTTGGTTTGGTTTGGTTGGTTCGGTTTGGTTGGTTGGTTTGGTTTGGTGGGTTGGTTGGTTTGGTTTGGTTGGTTTGGTTGGTTTGGTGTGGGTTGGTTTGGTTGGTTTGGTTGGTTTGGCGTGGTTGGCGTGGTTTGTTGGTTGCCCTAAATATCTTGATATCTCAAAACAGGGAGGTCGCTTAAACCTTCGAATGGAGGCGCCGACGTCCAAGGGGGTGGTCCAGACGTTATGTGACTTTGGATTGTTTTGGATTCTGTGGACGTTGCTTTTTGAATCGTTTTTGGGGGTTGCGCAGGGGTGTAGAGTACTGTGGGTTGGTTAGGCTTGGCCAAAGGCTGTTTCCCTTGAATCTAGCACTTTGGTGGCTGACTTTGATGAATGAGGCCAGTGGCCAAGAACCCTACAACACTCATGGGCACGTGAAGCCTTGCTGAGGCCACATTAGTCCAATTCAACCAGGTTTCTGAATTCAATGTTGACGTCCTTTGGTTGGTTTTCAAGTTGGCTTCAACCTCCAGACCTTGGAGGGCACCCTAACTCGGAAACCGAAAGGCTTGCCATGTTCCCAGGTTGGCAACCCTTTGTAGATTGCCTCTGGAAGTAGCTTCTACATCTGCAAACTATCTATTGTATCCGGCGAGGGCATCAAAACATAAAGATCCGGCTCCTTCGAGCGTTTTGGTTTCATGTTGTCCCGCGCCCTGTTTCGGTCCAACTTGAAATGCGTCACTGCCAATGTTTTTGAACCTCCTCCCCCAAAGCCACACGACCGCCTCCTCCGCGGCGAAAATTCGGCGCGGTTGGAATTGAGGAGGCGAACTGGGCAAACGTGGGGCTGTGCAGCGGCTTGATTTTGTTCCTCATCGGCGCCAAGCGGCTGAAGGCCATGGCCAAAACCAGCGGCTCGCTCGGCATTCGGCACGCTACAGCGTGAAAGCGTGCCCGCGGGTGGACGTCAACCGGACCAGTAAAAAACGGGGATGGGTGATTTACTTTTTGGCTATTTGGGTTGCTTCTTTGGACTTTAGGGTTTGGTTGAAACAGGTCGGATTGCCTGGACCCAAAAAAGTTAAACTATTTGCAGAGGGGTCAACAGCAACTAAGCTAAAGCAACTGTTGATTTCAGCCAGGGCCGGCCTTTAGTTTTAACGAAGTGCTGAAGTCAGGGCCAGTGTAGGAATCGCAAAGTTCAACAAAAGGTTCCTAATCCCGGGAAGCTTTTGACCCGAATTCGCTTCTGGTGCCAGATAAGGCAAAACAAGGCCTGACGAAGCCCTCACGAGTTGAGTTGGTGGGATCCGCAAAAGTTGGACCCGCCACATGTATCCACATGTGGGTTCATCCACGTTGCTTGAAAATATTTTTAAGGGCGAAGCTCAAATACAGGATGGGTGCGCAATGGCATATAGCGAAACATTTCCCAACGGGATACAAGGGGTATGTGCCCAGAACCACGTGGTTTGTCCCCTGGGAAATATGCCTGGATCGCTGTTTGTGTGGACGATTCTTCGTTCTTTTTACCGGCTTTCGCTGACTTCTGCTGGCAGAAGAAGGGCGGCTCAAGGCCCCCACCCAGCGGAATGTTCCAGTGTTGCCCTCTCAAGTCCAACCAAGCCCTATCAAGTTCTTGCCAGAAGCGGCTGGTTCTCGCTCTTGACCATGGCCGGTCAGGTCCCCCCTCGCAACCCCTTGGTGCCTTGGTGAGGACAGAGCAGCAGGGTGTGGAGAGTGCTGGCGCAGCTGTCGCAGATCAAGCAGATCCTCGTGGTGGTCTTCGGGGTCGTCTTTGTGCGCCTGACAGCTGAGTCCGGGGCAAGGATAGTGCCGGTGGTGGGGCACATCCCCCAGGTGGGCTGAGAGGGCGGGCTGAGGGCTGGAAGGCAAGGGCACCAACTGGACGTAGAATCAACCCCAGTTGGTTAATGGGGGGGGTGTCCCTGGGTTCAGTGGAGAATCATCCCTTTTGGAGGGGAACACCCAGATGTTCCTGTTAGTAAACCGGGGTTGAGTAATCTGGGGCCTACATTGGCTTACTAGGAGGTTTGAAGGCTTTCCCCTTGGAAAATCCCAAGCAAAGGTGTAATTGTGGGCTTTTCTCATGTAGGGAAATCAGCCACTCCTGGTTTTGAGTCTCAGTTGGGGTAAAGCGGGATAAAGCGGGGGAAGCTTTTGCAGAAGCGCAGGCCATGTGTTACGCCAGAGGCGCCAGCGGCAGGGTCCCTTGCTAGCGGGGTCACTTTACCTCTTGGTGCAAGAGAATGGGGGATGCAATTCATGCGCACCTACTTTGTGAGTTCCCCTGGATGAATCCCAATTTGTCAGGCACCCGGTTCCAATCAAGCAAGAGCATTTCTGCGATGCCCGATTGGCAAAGCAGTGGACAGAAGCCTCACGAGAAGCAAACCAAACAATTTCGATCCCAGCTCAGTGATTGGGAGGTTGCTGTAGGCTCTTGACATGTAAGCCAGAAAAGAAAGGGTTCCCCTTTTTCGAGCAGACTGGACAAGTGGCTAGGGAATTCAAGGGATTGGAAACCCGAAGCACCTCAAGAGACTGGATCAGAAAAGCGGAACTGGAGCAAACTAAAGAAAAGCTAGGAAGCCAAGAGGTTACACAAGAGGCCTTTGCGGGCCCTAGTTCCAATGGGTGTGTAATTAGACTTGTATACGTACATATATGTATATATACATATTTATATAAAAAGGCCTCCAACAACTTCAAAACTCCATTTGGTGTAAACATGAAGTATCCCACAATCGCATTCATTTTGTTGCGTTTTGTTGTTCCAGCCCTTAGATTCATTGGTCGGTGAGTTGGTTTGTTGGTTTGTTTGTTGGCTCGTTGGTTGCTTGCTTGCTTGCTTGCTTGCTTGGTTGGTTTGGGTTGGTCAGTTGGTTGTTTGGGTGGGTTTGGGTTTGGTTTGGTTTGGTTTTACTTCGCCGCCGGCCTCGCCACCCCCAGGGCCTGCCGCCTTTCCGGGCGCCCTGGGAGCTGGCCGCGGCCCGGAAGCTGGCGGCGGGGCCGCCGGAGGTGCTGCAGGGCTTCGTGGCCAGCGGCTTGGTCGTGGCCTTCTCGGCCTTCCTCACCTCCTTTTCCAGCTTCAAAAAGCGCGGGGGAGGGGGGAAGGGGGGGGGAAGAGGAAGGGGGGAAGGGGGGAAGGGGGGGGAGTGTTTGCCTCCATTTGCTTGAGGTTGTTCTCTGCTTGAGCTTCAAAGCGGGGGGGAAGGGAGAGGAAGGGGCGGGCGTGGCTGGTTTTCATGGGTTTGTTCTACTGCAGCTTTAAACATGCGGGGGGGGGGGGGGTGGGGGGAGGAATTTGGTGTTTGCCAAGGGGGGAGGGGGGGAAGGGGGGGGGAACAGGGAGGTGGGGAGCCGGATAGGGTGCGGAGAAGGGGAACAGTTGCCAACCGACTTGTCCGAAGTTGTTTTGAGACCAAAAAGCGGGGGCGCCGGGGCATGGGGGGCGGGTGGGAGTGGGGGGAGTGGCTGGTTTTCATGACTTGGGATTTGTTCTACTCCCCTGGAGCACCCTTCGTTACATAAATTTCTGCCCTTAGCCGAAACGTATTGCAAAACCAGGGGTCGTCACGTACACTTTTTCCTGCTTCGAGCGTTTTTCCCAAAACCGGACTGGTCGGTCCTCCAAGATGATCGGTCGCTGAATATTCAAAAGGAGCGAGCAGAAATCGAAGTGCAAAACGAGCGCAACATATCCGCAAAACGAGCGCAAATATCCGCAAACGAGTGCAATTAAAAAAAAAAAAAAAAAAAAAAAAAAACGTAACAATGCCACTTTCCTCTGGATGAAAGAAGGGGATGTGGTCGAGCGTTTTTCGGGGGGCGAGCGCTTTTTGGGGGGTCGAGCAGAAATCGGTAATCGTACCTAAAAAAAGGGCACGTTGGGTGCCTCAGGCCTGTTTGCATCCAACTGTTTGAGGTTGTTCGAATGAATGTGTTTTTGTAAAAAAATGTCCCTTGGCCTCAAAACGCACTTCCTTGACAGCACAACGGAAAGAGCCACATCCAAACGCTTATATCCCCCAAATGACAATGCATAGCCCGCAATTCGCCCAGTC